TCAATAAACAAGTAACTGTTGTTCTCCAATATGGACCTTACATCTTGGCTACACGATATCGCCTCACTCAAAACCACCCGTAGGAGTTGTCACGATCAAATCAAACTCAAGTGTTTTAGGTTCCACACTCAATCTCACTACTACTCTAGGAGACATGGAAGAATGTATAGACCCTAAAATTGCATTAGTGTTAGTCACCTTTCTTACAACACTCTAACCATCCCGTCTTATAACTATCTCTTATTTGTACAGAAAACAACGCAAATTAACTTGTCTTAGTCACCACATAAATCATTTGATTAACTATTAATATCATTTTGTATCCCTCGAACTAAAATCGATTAAAGCCTACACAACCATTCAGATCTAACCTAATACTTTGGTAATTTATAAACCTATGCTCTGATACCAAACTTGTCACACCCCCACCCCGGATCATATAGGGTGGGCGGCGTACCGGCCATCAAGGCCTTAACCAACTAATGTTGTGCATAATAAATGCAAAATACAACAGAAGATAAATAATAAAGTGATCCCTCCACCAACCTAATGAATGAACTAAACATCACTAACATCATTACTAATTTCATGTAAAACAATAATTAAATCGTAAGGTTCACTACTCCAAATATGAGTAATATTATTCCCAAAATAATTAAATACTTGTCTCAAAACTACAAAGACATTTATTCTTGAAGACCTACAATATAATAAATCTTCAAGTTCTCTAATCCCTTGTATATCCGCAGACTTACTCCTTACCCAAACCCTCTCCTGAAAAATGTTAAATGTTTGGATGAGTACAATGACCTGTGAATAACAACCACTTCTAATGAGGTGTGAAAATAAATCTCACATCTTATATACAAAAATAAAATTTGATACATATATAAGTACAACAAATTATACCTTAACCCCTCTCACATAATCATTTAAACAAAATGATCTCATGATCACAAATAACTTTATAAATGAAAATATATTTATAACCTAAAATACTCACTCATTTCCACAAATAACTTTATAAATGAAAAAAATATTTATAACTCAAAACACTCACACACATATTCAGTTTCAAATACATTTGTAAATCATGTTTGTTAGCACTAACCTGGTAACTGACCCTGTCTCTTGTTACCACTAGCTTGATAACTGGCCGCGTCTCTTGTCATCACTAGCCTAATGAATGGCTCCTATGTGCATATCCCTATACTGATCACACAGGTATACAATCTTGTTACCATTTTGGCCTAGTAATCCAGTCTCCGTCTCATAAACATGATTTTCACACTAAAACTGTAATTTTAGTCTCAACGTATACAAAATTTCTCTTTCATCACCAAAGTAATGATATAAAATCATCTTACAAGTTTTCTAAAGTTTACATGTATAACAGTTCGCAATTGCAAAATATTTATTTGCAACCTCAAATGTCAACACGTATATATGATATATATGAAGAATCCACACGCACGTATCCGCATATTTAATATAAAAAATTCTCAAAAAAGAAGTAGTAAACTACTCACCTTGATTTCCAAATTCAATTCAAAGTCCGCTTGTTCAACTTTAATGCAACCACCATCTAATCCAAAATAACAAATAATGATCAATATTTATTCCCAACTTCGAGATTTTATATTTAATTTATGTACTTTCTGTCTATTGATATATACTTAATATATCCTTTACATATAAATATTCTTTCTAATATGAGGTAATAGAGTATAGAAGTAGTCTGGGATGTTCAAAAAAAGTTTCTAAAATTTTGGGGTCAAATCATAATTTTTTTGAAACTTTTGGGGTCAAAATATAATTTCTTTGAAAAACTAAATTTTTGTTTTCGGGGCTGCCATAAATTTTTCAAAATTCTATTATTCTAACGTACCAACTAAAATAGTGGTTAAGATTAAATTTAAAAAAATATAAAGGTCAAAGTAAAATTCTTTAAAACTAAAGAGGATGATGTTCCTAGAATTTTAAAGAAACTTATCTTCTCTACCCACCCAAAGTTACAGAAGTTGTAACTTTCGTCCTTCGTTGCCTTTACTTTCTTTTTTTGCTTCCTTTTTTTTTTTTAACACATTAAATAATTCTTTATAAGTTTCATGGCCAACCAATTTAAATTAGGTCCCAAAATACCTAAATTAACAACTTTCAATAAAATTTATTTACATATTCATCAATATATATATAATCATTATTTATAGAAAACATAATACCATGTAATTGAATATAATACAAAACTCATAAATTAAGTAGTAAAATTCATACATTGGATGGATTCAAGCCATTTTCTTTCTATCTTTTTCCTCCTCCTGTTCTCTTTCTATGCCTATTTTTCTTCTAAGCCCCTCCTGCCTTTCTTTCTTTCTTTCTTTTTTATTTTTTTTCTCTTGCCCTATTTTGACTGTCTACATATATATGTACACAAAGTAAAAGAAACTCTAAAAAAACCCTACAATTCTTCAAATTCATTAAATACATTAATATTCCTTTTTAAAAAAATATCACAAATTAATCTAAAAAAATAATATTATATATATTTTTTAAATTTGGGATATTAGAAAGGGTGAGTATTAAAAACAAGAAAAATGATATTTTTGAAAACATAAAAAATTGAAAACACACGGGGCTCGGGGCCTTTTTAATGAGGTCCAGCCTTCAACTTTCATTAGGAGCAAAAAATAGTACATTTTTGTGGCACCTAGATAAAGCAAATATAAAGCTCTCTCTCTCGCGCGCGCGTCTGTGTGGCGAAGCTCGCAACTCTGTGGGATCCCAATCTATGAAGCTCCGACTTCACTTCTCTTTGGCAAAGCTCTCTCCGACGAAACTCTCCACTTTGTCCGATGCTTATCTTTGCATATTTTCAATCGGTGATACTCACCCTTCCATTTTTTTCAGATCTAGGTTTTATTTTTGTAGATCTAGAGATTTTTCTTCATCTCCATTTTATTTTGTGGTTGATTTCAACATCTTTGTTTGTATATGCATCTCTGTATCGGTAATGGTGGACTCGTATTGGCGGTGATTTTGAGTGGGTTGGGTGGTGGGTTTCGGGGCTGCTGCAGCTGGGTTTTCTCCGTGTGTGTATAAGTGGTGGTGGACTGGTATTGTTGGCGGTTTTGGGTGGATTAGGTGGTGGGTTTCGGAGCTGCAGTAGTTAGGTTTTCTCTGTGTATGTGTGTACACACAGAGATGCATACACAATCACTGATGTATTGGTGGTGGTTTTAGATGGGTTGGGTGGTGGGTTTCGGGGCTGCTGCAACTGGGTTTTCTCTATGTGTGTATTAGTGGTGGCGGAGTGGTATTGGTAGTGGTTTTGGGTGGGTTGGGTGGTGGGTTTCAGTGCTACTGCAGCTGGGTTTTTCGGGATTGGTGGTGGTGGGGGGGTTTTGGATGGGTGGTGGGATTTTGGTGGTGTTGGTGGTGGGTTGAACGGTGAGTTTTCGGTTTGGGTGGTGGCTAAACAGGGGTGGTGGTGGTGGATTTTCGGTGGTATTGATAGTGGCCAAATAAATGGGTTGGGTGATGGGTTTTGGAATGGTGAAGAAGATGGTAGCCGGGTGGGGTGGGTTTTCACCTTTTCGGTGATTTGGGTGGAGATGTATTTGTGATTAAATAATTCTTTAAAATAACCACAATGAACTATGAAAACACTATTATAATATAAATATATATTTTTATTTTTATTTTTATTATTTTTTAAATATAAATAACTAATAAACATGGTTTATATTAAAATATTTATCATAGAAAAAGCAAAATTTAGTTTTTTTTTTAAAAAATAAAAAAAATAAAAACAAAAACATTACCAAACGTACTCTCTCAGATTTTGTTTCACATCAAGAATGGTGATTTTTTTCACATTTGTTGTTGTGCACACACTTTTTTACTCAATCGTGATTTATTCTTATAATAAACAAGTCAACCATATGTAATGTATAACGAGTTGATGATTTTTTTTGAAGTTTCAAAAAACTCTAATCAATTTTTTGTTTAGTGATTGACACACGATTTGTGTCAAAAAACCCGTCTAATAAATGAGTCGTATATAAGTGCGATAGTAAGACCTATTTATATAAACAAATAAAGTATAGATGAAGAGTCTTTTTACATAAACTCGTTCCACTCGAAACGAAACTTTTTCAGCCGATGCAATTGGCAGGCATAGTCACAATACTATTTTCACAAATTTTTTTTTTATAGATATTTGATTATTAATGAATTCGAATGTGAACATAAAATTTTGTATATGTTGAATTAGCATATCGGATTTTGATTGAATTAATTAAATTGTTAAATTAACAGATCAGATCTAGATTGAATTCATTAAATTGTATTCAAATTAGAATCATCTGAGATTTGGTTCGAATCCAACCCGTTGACCGGCGTAGAGTTAATAATCGAATCGAGTTTGTCGAATTCATTTTTTTAAATAAAATTTATTTAAATTCTACTCGTAACAAATCGAACTCAAATAACTCAACTATTTACACAGGGTTAATCATAAAAATATACTCTGAAAAATCTTTCAAATTTTAATATATACCCTCAAAATTTAAAACATATTAATTCATACCCTTATATGTGAGAGTTTTATGTGAACCCATATGCTTGGATTTTACGCTTAAGCGCATGGCCCTCCCACCTCCCATTCACGTGATTTAGTTTTACGTAACAAATGACTACTGTTAAGTTCAAGTACATATCTATAAAAATTTATATATATTTGGGGTATAAATTAATATTCAATTAAAATTTTAAAAAATTTTATGGGTGTATTTTACTATTAAATTTTTTACGAATTGAGTCTTTCGAAATGATTAGATGAAACCAAAAAATTATTCAAATTCTACTATTTTAAAAAATGAGTCGAAGTAGTTTGACTCGACTACCGGCCCTGGTCAGCGGTTACCCCCCTCCTCCAAAACCACCCGGTTCAACCTATAAGAAAGTAAAAATGAAGGAACATTTTCATATTTTCGTGCGTCGTTAAAATCAATTCCCTCTCCGGCGGATTCAAGATTTTCACGATTGAGTAGAGGTTTTGAGTTCTCTTTCTGATTGATTCATTCTTTCTTTCCCATGGCGACGAGAAATCGGACTAGTCTTTTCAGAAAGTACAGAGACACTCTGAATAGCAACCGTGTTCCGTTAACATCTTCGACGACGTTCAGGGGCCCGGTGATCGAAATGGCCACCACTTCGTTTCTTAATTCCAATCGCTCTTATGCTCCTCTCAGCACAGAGGACCCTGGTCCTTCCGGGTATGCTTCAAACACCTCTTCTTCTTCTCCGTGTTGCCGTTTTTTGGAATTGAATTGGAATTGATTTCCTCTACAGAATTTTGTTTTTTTCACCCTTTGCATTTTCTGTATGTTGGTCGAGATAATTGAATGGAGCACAGGTACATAGAGCGTGGAATTCAAATGTTTATGTGCATTGTAGGGTTTTGAAAAACTTGTTTGCTTTTCTGATTGGAATTAATGCACTTTTCCAAAGTAACCTCTGATTGAGATTTGTTTTATAGCCCAAGAGCACACATTTAAAAGTTAAGAGTCAATCATTCTTCCCTCTTGCAACATATAAACCTATGATACACAATCAATAAGTGGATACTAACATAGTGCTATCAACATGATCCCTAACTTCAGAACCCCAGTGTTGTCCCTTCACTCCTGTATTTATTCCAGTTTCAGTGCCTCCATAACCTCCACAAAAATGAAACAGGATAGGCTGCCCTTTGTCTAAGGCCCCTTGAGCTTTAGGGAAATTCTTTTGGCATCCCATTCAACATTGTGGAAATTCAAATTGTCGAGATAGCTGCTCTAACTTATCCTCTCCATCTATTCGTGAAACTTTTTCTATAAAACATGTAGTACGAAATATCCTAGTTGCATGTTCATAAGCCCTCTAGGTGGCAACCCAGAATCGCTAATATTTTTTATTATTACCTTCGTTGGTTAGGTTTATTGAGGCAAGAATACTTAGTTTAACAATTCTCCTATATATTTGATGAGGTTTTTTTAAGAGGAATAGAGAGAGAAGGGTGGGTTTAGAGAGAGAAGGGTGGGTTTAGAGAGAGAAAAATGGTTGGATATGTATCTTCACCAAGGAGGTTGATGAAGATGGGATATATTTACCATTAACTAGGACCCTTGTGAGTGCAATTCCCAGCGAGTAGATTGTGTATATACATATATATCCCTGTCAAAAACAACCATACTCTAAATTTTTTTGGGAAAAACCGTTGTTAATTGATCCCATCCTTGCAGCAAACAGGCCAATCTCATTGCTCAGATCATGGCTACCCCTGGCAGTGCTAAGGGAGGTTTACCGCAAAACAAGAAGAAAGTTTTCAACTTGGCAAAAAAGCATTGGAAAAATGTTTGTATGTGAAATGTGTTCAAAAGTAGTAAAGGGAGGGAGCTTAGGTGTGTGTAAAGGGTGCTTAGAAGTGGAAAAGAATGGGAGACTGATTGCTCAGTAATGGGGGATGGTTGCACTAGTATGTAGGATGCTGAGATGCTTGACTCTTTTGTCATGTTTGAAATAATTTTGATGTTGCCCTAGATTACATGTGTTACAATGTTCCATATTCGGCTAGTATGTGGTAAATTACATGCATGAGCTTATGCTCGTTAATTGCCTCATTATTAGACTTTGTGCCTTATTTGATTTTTTGAGTTTTGCCACATAGGTCATGGTTTGGTGTTTTACATATTTATAGCCTCATTTTCAGGTCAAATGTTAGTCAATCAAAGTCATGTTTTGCATGTTCAAATGTCCAATATCATTTTTTGATGCAGTACGGATGCATTTACAATAGGCCTACCTCCAGATTGGGTGGATGTTTCTGAAGAAGTAGCTGCTAATATACAGTATGTTCGAGTAAAAATGAAAGATTTAATCAAGGTTCATGCAAAGGCATTGACTCCCTCCTTTGGAGATGGGAAAGAAGATCAATGCTTGATAGAGGCCCTTACCCAAGAAATTACAAACCATTTGAGAAGGTCAGAGAAGAGATTACAGAAACTTTCTGCTAGTGGGCCTTCTGAGGATTCAAATATTAGGAAAAATGTGCAGGTATGTGGTCTGATAGTCATTGCATATTCTGTCCCATACAATTTGTAATGGCATTCGCATGTGACTGTTACGCTTGTTTAGAATTGACTCTGGTTTGTGTTTTATCAATCCTTTATCTATTTGAAGGCAGTAATGAACTGTCTGCTGAATATTTCATGATATATCGTATTATTACGACATTGTACTACTTAATCAGCTTTGGTCACCCTTCATAATAATATCCTTGCACACTCGTTCATCTTCTTTCGTATATGAAGCACGGATACTTCCCACGGGGGAGCCGTGGTAGGATCGGACGCGTGTCCGACACGGATACGGCCAGGACATGGTCAGACACGTGTCCAACACAACTAGAAGTGTCTTGAATAGTGAATTCAGTCGGACACATCTAGGACACGGTCAGAATAAGTCCAAACATTTTTTTATTAAAAAAATAACTTTTAATTATTAAAAAATTATTTTCTTAATATATTTTTTATTATGTAATTTATATATTGTGAATGTTAATAGATGCAATGATGTTTGATGAAAATAGTGGATATTTAAGTTTATCTATTTCAATTTTAATCAAAAAAATAATATTTGCTAGGTCATATTATTAATATTATTATAATATATGCTTTATTTTTAATATATTACAACTTTATTACTATTTAAAAAATATATTATATTATTTTAATAATCGTATCCTTGCCATACCCGTGTCTCATATTTTTTAATTTTGTCGTATCTCGTGTTTGTATCATATCGAATACGACACCCGTGTCCGTATCTGTGGTTTCTAGTCTTTCGTATACTCTCTCTCTCTCTCTCGTGAGAGTTAGATTTTTGGACCTTCATATAGAAGACCCTCAAAAGTGTTACACTTATTTAAGAGAATAAAGAAAATCATCTGTTTTTGTAAAAATAAAATAAAATTAAGTAGGAGTCTTTTTCCTGCCTTTGCTTTGTATTGGTCCCGTTTTTCTATTTTTGGTGAACACGTGTATGGGTGTCTGGGTGTTTCTTTCAGAATTAATTCCTCTTAGATTTTGCATTCTAGAATACATAAATAAGAGCTGCAGTCTCTTGGCAGCCCAGTAAGATGGATTGCCCTGCCCTTAACTTTATTCTTTTTTGTTTTTTAACAGCATTCTCTTGCTACGGACCTTCAAAATCTTTCAGTGGAATTTCGGAAGAAGCAGTCAACGTATCTTCAGCGACTACAACAGCAAAAGGAGGTTTGCCTATTTACATGCATACATGCTTATCCAATGTAATGCATGCACACGCCTTGGCTTAAAGCATTTTGAACTAAGATTAGGTATATTTGTGAGGGTTTAGAAAAAAATGCATGCATTGGAAATCATTCTGCAGACAATTTTTATAATGAGCTCCTAAATGGTATGGTATTTTGCAAATCATCATTTGCTATGATGTTCTGGTTTAGTTTCACATTCAATTAATAGCCTGGGCCTCTTTGCTGTTCAGCTTATATTGCTTTGTTTCTTTTCGTGGTGTAGGGACAAGATGGGCTTGACTTGGAGATAAACTTAAATGAGAGTAATTCTAGAATGGAGGGTGACGAGATGAGTGACCTGGTATGCTGCTTATCTTATGTTTAGTTTTAGCATGGTTTTCTTTAAACTTTAAAGTAAGAGATTTCAACTTCTTAAATTAGTGAGCCAACCCTGTGGTAAATGCAAGATTCGGGGTTTTAATATTGTAAAGGAAACATATGTCATGTGGAGGAGAGCCTTGAGCACAATGTTGTAGGCCCTTGACTCAGTTGTTTTTTATGAAGATTTTATATTGTGTTATGCTACATCTGAACAGTCTATGATATACCAAATCCTGGTGGTCAATAACGGCTTTTCACTCCAACATGAATTTATGCTCAATCAATTCAGGGTTTTAGTGAGAACCAAATAGCCCAGCTGAAGAAAAGTGAGCATTTCACTGCTGAGAGGGAGAGGGAGATCAGACAGGTATGTAAAGATATTTAATACAGTTTGTATCATTATTAACTGTTTGTGCCCTCTTTTTTTTTATAATGAAAAGAATTGATGTAATAGGTCTTGGAATCAGTTAATGAGCTTGGGAAAATCATGAAAGATCTTTCAGTCCTCGTGATAGACCAGGTTAAACAGCTTTCTCATGTATTGCCTACAAACTTCCGTAGGAATCCACTATGACTAAATTGTTATTTCCTATAGGGCACAATTGTTGATCGGATAGACTACAACATTCAAAATGTTGCTGTCTCTGTGGAGGAAGGTGTCAAAGAGTTACACAAGGTTTTTTCTCTCTCTCTGTCCCACACCCACATCATGTGGTGTCATTATGTGTGCTACTCAGTGCTTGTGTTGCATGCTCAGCATTTAGTTTTTGTTTTAGTTCAGGGTTTAGGATCCATTTATTCCGTTTGACGTGCACATGACCTATTATAATGGCAGGCAGAAAGATCTCAGAGGAAAGGGGGAATGGTGACATGCGCTTCAGTGCTTCTTGTCATGTGCTTCATCATGCTGGTTCTCTTGATCCTTAAGGAGATATTCTTGTGATTTGCTTATTCCATTCTCTGAATTTTTTACCAGCTGGTGTACATGCGGCGTCATTTGTAGGTTTAATTGGGGAGTTTTTTAAGTAAGCCCCAGTTATAGTCAACTATAGGAGCAGCAAATGACCTTCATACTCTAATTTATTACTTGGTGGTGAAGTCTTTGTTACAAGATATAGAAGTGTCCAGGATTCAGGATCCTCTGAAGCTTATTAGTAGGAATGTGTTTGAATTTAACAATTTTTTTCATGTAGGTATCCACAAAAAAGGAGAAAACCCCCAAAATCTTCGTGCAGTATGCAATAGAAAGAAAGTTGTAATGCTTCCCATTTTTTAATGAATGATGAGAAAAGTGTGAATTCGACATTGTTTTTTGGATTTTGACTTGCTATTAGTCAGGCGGGGCTTTGACATGTAGTGGTAAATAAGGGAAGAAAAAATATAGAGATCGAATAGTTTGACTATTTATATATAAACAAGTTAAGATTTATAAGTTCGAGTAGTTCGATTATTTATATATAAATGAGTAGAATTTTGTAATATTATCGTTTTTTTTAAATGAGCCTAAAAAATTGTTTAAATTAGACTCGTTTAAAAAAAGAGTTTAGTCTGAATCGAGTCTAAAAGGAGTCAATCTTGTGTAATTCGATTCAATTATCAACCCTATAATTATTTAGTCTCATCCTTTCCATCGTTAGATTTATGAAAAAAAGTATGAAACAATTTTCCGTCCTATTGGGAACAGCGACCGACATGGCAAGATTTTGTTACGGAAAACGAACAGTACCGTAACAAGATAAGAGTGAAGGACAAATTCCATGACAGGCTTGAGTTTTTCACAGCTCTAAGTGAAGGCTCCCTCAATCTCCTTGAATTCAATTGACCCACTGAAATCTAGATCAACGTCGTCTTTCTTCTTCTTCTGTTCTCATTAATGGCCGTCCTTTATCTTAATTTCTCTGAGTTTCAATGGGTCATCGAGTACAAGTTCATTTCTACTCCACGAAGAAAATTGAGTAAACTAAACTGCAAAGAAAGACAGTTCGATTCTTTTGTTGGTTGATTAATCAAAAAATATTTGTGTTTGCAGTGTTTGACAGGTAGTAAGATTCATGTCGGCAGTGAAAGATGGCGCTGTAGCATGTAATGGGTTCCCGGTTGGCCTTAGGGTTCTTGTTGTTGATGGTAGCTCCCCCGACCTCAAAATACTAGCACGTATCCTTCAAACTTGCCACTATGAAGGTTGGATTGGACGTTTTACCACCTTCATTTCATTTAATATCCACACTCGACTCCATTGTTGATCAGAGGTGGGCTTTTAACGTAACGATAAGATTGTTCCATTGTGAATCGGAATTCACAGGTTCGAATCGTGAAAACGACATCTCAAGACTACGTCTGTCTAACCATCTCCAGACTCCACAATGACGGAATCTCGTGAACTAGGTATACCCTTATATAGCAAGGCACACGAATATAGAAGCATGAATCTGATATCAGAATTTCCCATGGATGTATTTGGATATACCATCTCCTTATGTACGCAGAATGAAGTTTTGATTGCATTCTCAATTACCTGCAGGTATTGAGGGTTTAGCTAATGTGTGTGTCTGCTTTATGTATGCATGGTTTATGGTTGTTTGCAGTTACGATATGCCAACGGGCAGAGGATGCTTTGTCTAAGCTTCGGGAGTGTTGAAGTAACTTTGATATAGTGATAAGTGACACATACATGCCCAGCATGGATGGATTTCAGCTCCTTGAGATTATTGGGTTAGAGATGGATCTGTCAGTTATCAGTAAGTGTCCCTTCCTCCAGTTATATAATTTACCTATTGGTCTCATGGGAGGATAAAAAAGATGTTGTAATGAAGGTGATCATTCAAAGGGCTTGTGATTAACTACTCAAACCTGTGCGGCCTGATACAATTAGCTTCATATGGCAGCATGTGATTCGGAAGCAAAACATTGGTTTAAAGACATTAGAGGTATCGAAAAATGTTGAATCTCGTGTACATCAGAATAGATTTAATGATAGAGACGACACATTCTTGGAGGATAAAGAAAAATTGTGGAAGCATAAAGAAAATTGTGTACCTCAGAATAGATCTAATGATAGAGACTACACATTCTTAGAGGGATCGCATAAAGGATGAGCATGGAGTAGAGAAGGACAGATCAGACAACATGGCCTCACTGAAAAAGTCACAAATGATTTGGGACTAGTGAGCTTCATGAATAATTTGTGGCTGCTGTAAATCATGTTGGCCTCAAGTGCATGAACTGTTTCTATCTCTATTGGCTTCAAGTTGATGTGCTTAGGTCTTGCAATTAGTTAGTTCTTAATGCAAGAATGGACAAATTATTCAATAATTTCCACATGCACAAATTCCACTATTTTTAGATCGACCCAAAAACCTTTCACAACATAATCCATCCTTTTTTCCAGTTTATTGGTTTTGTAACGAAAAATTTTAATTTTAGCTGATTATATGATTAGGACTCAATTTTTTATGATTTCTAGGATACTAATATGCTTGTGATCAATTTCAACTGTTGTGCAGATGTTGTTTCGAAGAAAATTTTGGAGCTTGTGCATGCCTCCAATGTTTGTGGTATTAGTAGAGAAAATGTTGCCAGCCACCTCCAGGTATTGTCTATAAATTTTATATGTGAGATAAACGTTACAATTGTGACTTGAAAACTTCGATTTATATAATGTTTACGATCCTATTTTGTAGTTGTTTAAATTCACTTTTATGCAAAAAAAATACCACACATGCCTTGAAAGGCAGCGCGAGAATCCTCAAAGTAAATTCAATAAGGCTCAAGCAGAATTCTTCTGCATATCAGGATCATCGGACATGACATGAATCATAGAACTTGTTAAAATATTCAGTATTTACCTAGAAACGATTTTCTGGCTCCGCCCTATCCACGATTCATTTCCTTCGACAGCATTTGATTTGCCATTCGATCTCAAAAATGTTGATGCCACCTACCTTACTAGAAAGAGCTATGATATGGATATCTTAGTAGAAGATATGATTTTTTGAAACCGAGATTTATTACTTTTTAAGTATGTAACTCAATAAGAAATTTTCTAACCTGTCCAATTTCTAATGAATCAAGATAACCATTTGTTTTAGTATAAATAATCATTATCTGTTCTTCCATCGTGAGAGTGGCTGATTGGGATTGTTTAAGCAATTTACGTAATCGTTGACCTCTTGTCAATTGATTTTGAGTAGCTATTGTGCAATGTATTTTGAGATCAACAATATAGAGCTTTAAATGAGGTGGGTTCACCATGATATTATTTTTTGGCCTTTTTGTATATGATTGGTGTACATTGGTTATTAATTACCCTCCCCTCCCCCTCTTTCTTTCTTCTTGCAGGATTTTGTTGGGCCTATTGACGTCAAATCTAATTTGATGGGTATCCCTCAAACTAATTGCATTCGAGACGTCTATCTTTTATATATTCGTATTCGCATTTTATTCTTTGAACTTTTCGTTATCATTTGGTAATGGTAACACCTTTTAGGTATGGAAAATTTTATTTTTCATTAAAAAAAGGCCTCTCTACCATTATAAATAATAAATTGGATGTCTATTTGAGATCAACATAGACAATTCCAAGTGACCTAGTCCAAGAAGGGAGACAAACAATTTGTCTCCACTCTGAATTTGCGAGTGCATAACCACCCATATAATTAAATGCCAAAAATGATTCATCTTACATCATTTAATTATATACCCTTTACTTCTTCTTTAAGCAAGAAGATTCATAATCTCTAATGACAATACAATGACGACAGCAAGGGCACATAAAATAGGAGGTTTGGTGATGCCATACCTTCACTTGTTTTAGTAAATAGAATTGCTTTAAACTTCTCGTATGTTTAGACTAGTTGGGACTAGAGATTTTTTTTTTCTTTTTTTTATGAATATACGCAAGGGTATACATATATATTTTACTCAAAATTATACAATAATCAAAATTTTATTGTGGTGCATAATTTTGATGAGCTTAAAAACGGAAATGTTTTCGGTAATGTTTTAGAAATAAGATGCAAACAAATAAAAATTTGAAAATTTATTTCCGCAACATTGGTCGAAACATACCGAAACACCTCAAAATCTACGAAAACACTTCAAAACATCTCAAAATATAAAAATTTTGATACTCATTTAATGATTCGTTTCAGTTTCATAAAAACGAAATCTTTCGGATGTTTCGAACATTTCATAACAAAATTTAGTTCCTTGACATCATATTACTGTTGCCAGAGCCCAAAAAGACGGAACAAACCCCAGTCCAAGCACATCATGTGTGTAGGTAGAAGAAGAAGGAGAACAAAATGTGGTGGCGGGCCATCGATTTGGAATGGTCCCCTCAAAAGTGAGATCAACGCAATGGCTGTTTGTAGCTGTAAAGTTTTTGGAAGAGTTGGCCCTTTTTGAGCTACTACATGTGTTTGTGTCACATTCCTCCTTTGTTGCTTTTCTCGCTTGGCTTGCTATACTACCATGACAGACAGATAGAGATGCGTTTCGGTTCCGGAAAGGGTGCTGCCTCTGCCTGTGTCGACATCTCTTAGTTGGGAATGTGTATCTGAAAGCCGAGGAATAACCCCACCACCAAGCAAGGTACTAAATTTCATTTTGAAATGTCCCAAATGTTCTGATGTGTTTCAGTAAATTCAAAATGTTTCAACCAATATTATAGAAACAAATTTTTAAATTTTTATTTATTTTTGAAATATTTCCAAAATATTTTCATTTTCAAGCTCTTGCCACCGAGCTTAGTTAATCTTTGAGGTGTTTCTAACGGCTGCAAATGAGTCAAACTGTCGGGTGGAACCCGTCCCTATTGGTTGTTATCACTCGTTAGTTAGTAAGGATTGTGTATATATATATATATATAACCTTTTGAATGGTTAAATTGTGATGTATCATATGTTTTGCACATGGTATATGTTATAAATATAATATTATGTGTTTGTATAAATGAACCGAGCTTTATCTTAATTGAATCAGAGCATTTCTTTTAAAGATGCTAACAAAGATTAATCCAAACTACTACTGCGCATTGTTCCCATACCCCTCATGGTTGCCCAACCCCAAGGAACTATCAAAATATCGGTTTTTTTTGGGTAAAGCTTACCTGCAAAATCGACTATTCAATAGCTAAAGTCTAATGTATTAATCAGATGATTGTAAATGGCAATTGTTGAAGAAGTTACATTGCAATCTGAGTGGACTGGGGACCAGTAAAAGGTGGGTCATGGGCCTGGAGATTGTGTTATTCATGTTATGTGCCTCAAAAGATTCCTCTCCATCCGTTGGTTTTTTTCTGCCCTCTGAACTGTATATCACACAATATTTTCACCACATCAGTGAAGAGAATCCTGCAACTGAAATTGCATCCACATGGGTAACCTACTTACTCTCTCTCTCTCTCTCTTTATATATATATATATATATATATATATATACCACAAAAATACTTGAGGTTGAGCTGGTTAACTCAGATCATGCTACTAAAGTCGAGAGCTTAGCCCATTTACAGACCTTGACCTTAGACCTCAATTTCCTATGTCCACATCTCGTGGAAGGCGGTACAAATGATAGCTAAATCCCAAATCCTATTTTTTAGAGCTTTAGAGCTGAAATTAAGTTATATCCAACTGTTCAATATATTTTATATTTACATCATTATTTAATCGTGTTATAGAATCGTCTAAATAATTTCCTTATGATAAAACCATGATTTAAGCCTATGATTAGTATAATAACTTCCCAACAAAGCTGTCAAACTCAGGACGATCTTTTTATGATTATTTCATACAGATTGGGTACGGGGGGCAATGTGTCAGTTGTCATGTCTTAATCCCATTTTTAAATTTTTTTTTTCTAAAAATGCTAAAGAAAAGCAGCTAAGCAGACGAGCAGCCGACAACGTCGAACCAATAGAGAAAAAAAAGCCAACAGAGACCCTTCCCTCAAAAATAAAGTAATGAATAAGAGTTTACAAATACAGAGGGTTCCAGGCTTACAGCTATAATAAGAAGACAAAGACTGATCGTATTAGTCGTCGATGGGCTGAGTCACAAAACGCAGAATTTGATTGCACCCAGTCTGCCAAGTAAGTGGCCACGTGTGCTGCTATGCCGTAAGGAAGTCCCCACATCCCAAACTTCACACGCAACAATGACAGCCAGGTCCCTCCTTCTTTGGATACCGCATTAAGAAAAAGAAGGGTGAATTACACTTTATACCTTAAAAGAATTTAATATTTTTATTTTGTACCCGAAAATATTTTAAAATTTTTGTTTTATACTCTCAAAAATTAAATTTTTTATATTATATTTTAATGTATCAAAGTGTTGCAATATAACCCTTTCTTTTTAGTCTTTTTGTTAAGTGTGAATGAATTAATTTTTGACAAAAAAAAATAACAAAACAATCACATTGCAATACTTTTGATACAATGTTAATCTCGAAGGACATAAAATAAAATTTTCAAAATCTTTTAATGTGTAAAGTACAAAAAATCTGAAAAAGAAACAGCAAAAATCAGATTTTAAAAAAGGCAGAAGGAATCGCCACCTACGTCCGCAAGGGACAGCGTGCGGAGGAGGTAAGGAAGTTCACAAGACTTCCACAGTTGCCACCAAAAGCACAAAACACCCCAAAAGAACCCCGTGGCCATCGTGGTTCTATTTCGTTGCAAGATATTAAATCAAACAAAAATTGTCAATTTTATTTTATTTTTTGAGATATTAATATGGGATTATTATAGGACAATAGTCCCTCCCATATTTTGAAATCTATCGTATCCTATCCTATCCTATCCTATCCTATCTACCGTGCTACTACTATTACTATCCACAGATCCTTGTAGACACTTCCGACGCCAAGAGCCGGCACCGCCCATATAAAAGCAATCGTGAATCCCAACAGCACACAGCGAACACCAGCATTAAAAAACAAGCCCCTCCACTCTAGTGCGGTCCATCCCACAACAATTCAATTGTTCTTACAGATGTTGCATCTATATATATATATATTCATCCTAATCACACAAAGTGCACCGCAAACCTCGCCAAAACAACTCACTCTTATCTAAGAATCCATCTCCCAAGCACCACCCACCAGAACATGTGCCGCATTATTAATGTGGCCCACCATTCCCCCCAAATAGAGAAAACAATAATACAACACTAATGTCCTCAGCAAACCATCTCCCAGTTAGAGTCAAACGGATTTCTTTCTCCATTGGTATTAATAAAAAAAAAACATGATGTTACGAGGGGGCCTTTTAATTTCCAGAACAGAGGTGTAAGAAATACGAGCCAGTACGGAATAAAATTTGCCATAATTGAACAAGTAAAGCAGATAGCAGCTACGATTCTAATAATCTATGGTTTGCTAATTCCACTACTTAAAAATTGAAGGCTTGGCAAGTGCAATTTCGTCAATTCACTCATTCCCACATAAAGCTTCTAGTTGTATTGATGGCCTTGTGTGCTGTCGGTTCCGGTTCTTTATTCATGTTCTTGGCAGAGTACTTTTGCCCTAATCGAACTTTCACCATATTCAATGAAGCAATGCCCAGCTAAATCTACCAGACACGGGGACTGAGCAACGCCAAATGACAATAGTTTCAATTCAATTTTCTATTTTCTGTTTATTTTCAAAAGACAAGAACAATAGAATAGAGTACAAATCACCTAAAATGATGATGATGATGATGATGAGTTAATCAAAAGAGAAAAAAAATCAAAATCAGCAAAAATAACCAGAGGAGGAGATACAAGGGAAAAAATTAAAGAAACAAAATGGAAAAATGAAGATAACGAGACAACATAGGGAACAAAAGTCACTGGAGAAATTTACCGGCGAGAGAGTCCAGCGCACAATTGGTTCAGGTCGAGTGTCCGAACAGGTCATACAGTGCCCATAAAGAGTCGAGTGGGCACGGTTGCTTCGAGTCTAGTCTAAGCCAAGGCTTGCCACTACCACTCCAATGCAGGAGGCTCACTGGACCTGGATGCAGGTCACGACAACTGCCTCTAACGTTATCGCCTCCCAAGCCATGTTGGTTCCACCGGTGGCCGATGGGCGCCACGTGTCCACCGAAGACTAGAAGAAACGGCGGCAACGACCCGAGCTCGTAGATCCGATAAGTCTTCTGGATCTCCATCCACCTCTCAATCCGTTTTGTGTATCCGAACCGTCTCCACTTCACCAGATCTATGACCATCACGCCGGTGTTAAAATAGCAAGGATTCCGGCCGGTGAATATGCCTGAAAACTTCCTATCCAACCAGAAATTATCCGTGAAATACTTTGTGAAGTTGGCGTGACAGTACTCCGGTGCTCCGATGGTCTTCTTCCCCAAGCTTGTAGTCCACAGCTTCGAAATATCATCGACCACTACGAGATCAGAATCCAAGTATATAACTCTTCGAACACAGGGCTCAAGTAGATCCGCCAAGTAATTTCTGGCGTAGTTTAAAGGCTGTTCAAGCGCTTGCCTCACAGAGGTGGAGATCAGATTGCGTACTCTATCCGGATCGAAGTAATAGACCTTAAACTTCAACTGAGGGAAAGTGGATCGAACTAGGGTTTCGAGATTGGTCTCCGAGACCAGGAAATGAAAGAATACACTCTCAGGACATTTAGAATGTTTTAAAATGGAATGTACGGCTGCGATTGAGCCCCGAAGATACTCAACATCGAGAGTAATCGCAACATGAACAAGAGATGGATCACAAACACCAATTTTCCCCAATTGTTTAGAACCGCATTCAGCGGCATTGTGGAATGTGGATGCTTTTCGGAAAGAGAATCGGTTGAGCGAATCAATGGAAGTGATTTGACCAGAAAATCGGAGAGAGTTATCAAGATTAGAGGATCTAATGGCTTCAGCCGGTGGAAATGACTGCAGTGACGGTGAGAGAACAATCAACACCATTGCTGCGGAGAAAAACCCTGAGAATTTCATAATCCAAAGCATGTTCACACGGTAAAATCCTATTCTCTTCTTCTTCTTAGATTTGAAATCGAATTGATACGTGCGGCGTGAAGAAATTGAAGAAAAAAGGAACGATAAGGTTCCTCTGAGGTCCGCCAGTGTCAAAAGAGAGTTGGTGAGAGATTTTTCGAATCAATTCTCGATCGTTTCCTTTCTCACTCCTCTCCACCCTGTTTCTTTCTAATCGGATGCCGTGGTAACGAAGCGACCGCCGATGAGATGGAAAGTAAAGAGAGGATAATCCATGAATCGAGTCACAGCGGAAACTATGGAGCCCTGCGCTCCTCTAAGATGTTGCAGTCCGGTCACTCTCTCCTCTTTTCTCTCTATCTTCTGGGAGAAGGTGAAGCAAGCAGAGGCTCACTCACACAGGTATAGAGAGAAAGATGGAGAAAGAAAGAGGAGGGGAGGGCTTTTTCTTTTATTTCTTAAGCTTTGCTTTTTGCACCATAAAAATACACTGCCAAATATCGCAGCAAAAATAAATAAAAAAATCTATTTTGTTTTCTAGTGTGTACAATTTTAAATACCGTAGAAGAAAAGAGATTTTTTATGTCAAAATCATAATGAACTCTGATACTCAATATGAATTAATTAAATATGATATAGTAAATTCTTATTTATCACTAAAAAAAAAATAATAATTCTTATCCAACTACTAAGATTTAAATTCGGATAAATGTACAGTTCCTCTAAATGATTGTGAAATCAAGAAAACATATAAATAAAGGAATTGTACTCAACATTAACTTGCAAACGTTATTAATCTTTTTTGGCATATTGGTTATAATTACTAATTCGGCGCCCCATGTGGCCAAAACCAAAACTCCTACGGCCACACCCAACGGACCTGACTACCGTACTAAAAAATTAAAAAAAATAGTATGGACTTTTAAAATTTAAATTTAATTGTACGAGACGTCCCTAAAATATGACATTTATCTTATTTTAGTTTTTAATATTTCAGTTGTATCATTTTAATAATAACATTTAAATTATTAATAATTTTTTATTATAAACTTATCATATAATATCTAAATATAAACAAAAAATAATTTTGATAGCTCTTAAACAAAATTTGGATAACTTATGATCAAAATTGTGTAATTTAAGTAAATATTTAACCAAAATTTAGTCAAAAGTTATCCAAATTATTATTTTTTTTATTCATATTTAAGTATCTTGTAATAAATTTATGATAAAAAATTATTAGCAATCTAGACACTGTCTAGTTAAGGGATCATATAAAAAACATATTCAATACTTCAGGAATTAAAACAATATATTCAATACTTCAGGGATCAAAACAACGTAATTGAAACATTTGAGACCAAAAATGATACGATTAAAACATTAGGGATCAAAATAAAATAAACTTCATAATTTAGGAACCTCAACTACAATTAACCCTAAAATTTATTATTTTAATGAATAATTTTATAATTTTTATGTGTGATTTATTATGTGTGTTTTCAATACCAAAAATACTACATTTGTGTGTGATTTATTATATTTATAGGTATTTTTAACACTGTTGTGTTTAATTATTTTTTTAATACCATAATAATAAAATTATAACAATGATAAAAATATTTATAAATATAATAAATATTGATACAACACTTTTTTCGTTTTTTGAGTACCATACCATAAACAACTTCTACCCCATTAACACGGGAAAAACCATATTTCAGCCCTAGTGTAGTCCTCTCACTGTGTCACCTGATTTTGACAAGACGGACTTTGTCTAACCCAAACTTCTTATCTGAACTACATTTTCTATCTTTTTTTCGCATTCCATCTCCTATTCTTACAAACCATCTTTCACTCCGAGATAGTATTGTTAGCATTTTTCGTAATCGGCACACATCCATAAAAATATTCTAATCATTCCTTGTTGAATATGGGACTATTTATACATCTTTCATTAGTTTTTTTTTTCTAATCATTCCTTGTTATTTATATTTCCTTGTTGAAAGAAATATAGCACAATTTTTTTCTTGATGGATTGTTCAAGTAATAATAAAGATGAACTGTAAATTCAGACATATTAAGTTTAAATTTTTGTAATTTTTTGGGGTCAGATTATAAAATATTTATCCTTCATGAATATTATAATCACAATGTAGATGACCTGTTTTTGACCGGACTAAAAAAATAATTAGTCGAGATACGTATAAGTTAACCTGAACACTATAAATCGTTGAATTAAAAAAAATATAACACAATTTTCGAGTAATAACTCGAGGCACGATTGGCAAGCATGTGAGATTTTGGGAAGATGACCAAATTGGAAGATACGATATGTATGAAGGAAATTATTTGGCACAAGTATATGGGGCACAACACTTGTTTTATGATGAGTTTTATGGTGGACACAGGCACCACTATAGGCCGAATCCAAGATACACCACAACACACATAGGGCAGCCCGAAAAAGAAAATGGCTTTTTGATGGCCTTTGTAATATTAAATATTAAATATCTATAATATAATATATAACATGCTTCAATAAATTCATTATATCATACCTTCAAGGGGGAGAGAGTAAGAGAGAGAAAATAGTAGAGTAAGAGATGATAATAATATATTAATTTCATTTAAAAATTCAAATGATAGATAACATCTAAGGAATACTAAAAGTCTCAAATTTTATATGTAGATATTTAAAAATATAAAAACTGTCAATCTGATATATAGTATTAATGGAAGATGACCAAAGATTATTGAAAGTTTTAAATCTAATATTTAAATATTTAAAAATATAAAAAAATAACAATCAAGTTGATAGTATTTATGGTAGGGGTAATTAGGTAACACAAAAAAATAAATTTAAAATTTATACTTAATGACAATTATTTGATAAAAATAAGACTTAATGGAATATAAATTTAGCTAAGTACTTGAAGCCAAATAATTTCTAAAAAAAAATTATCACAACCAAATTTCTATATTAAATACCAACTAAATCGAAGACCGTGCAAATTGATTTTTCTTAAGTGGCTAAAAAATTGTCTATTTCAAAAATAATCTAAAATCAATTTTAAACAGTCGCACAATGATTTTAACCCCTTATCCTTGCGAGAAAATAAAATCCATCAATATACATTGATATTTGTGCATGCAAGATCCTGTACAATATAAACACGATAACAGATCTCTTTCGTGGTGAACACGAGTCCGTCAATCAGGTGATCGATCTTGCTACTTAAAACAGGTTGTGGGAGCCGAAGGTGGGCTTAGGAGGGATAATGAATTGTTTTTATAAGTCGCCTAAATGATCCTGGGAGGCTAAGGGAGGCTCATGTAACAAAGAAAAACAGGTTAGAAGGTCGCCGAAGTGTTTTCCGGCGTATCCCCTCCGACGATCAAGTCAGTTCTTTGAAAGAGAAGAAGAAGAAAACATTGTATGATGGTTGAGAGAGGATTTGTTGTGTACCTCTTTTCTGTGTTTGTGAGGACTATTTATACCTTAAAAACTCATCATTGCTGACAGCGTAGCTTGTAGGTAATCATTGGAGGTGGGCAGTGTGCACACCAATTTCTATGAGTAATGTTCTTATTCTTTACTGCTCGGACTCCGAGCAACTAATACTTTCTCCTCAGTCTGCCGAACATTTAATGATCTTCCCTCAACGGGGGTGTATTAAATGCCCAGACTTTTGGACATTTATTATCTTTCACTTCCAAGCTCTCATGCATTAAATGACCATCAAGGGAATGGTGCATTAAATACTTGTTTTCCCAAGTCGTGTGTCAAAAAGGGTATTTTGATCTTTTTGTCTCTGATCTGACATAATACGCCACGTGCTCATTCCCCTTTAGTTGAGCCTTCTGCTTTTCTTATGCCTTCTAACACCATTTGAGTAAGACGAGGTCATGATGGTTGGTCTAGCCTAGTCTAGGCTAGTGATCTGTCAATCAATAGCCCTTGCAGGAGCAGAAACGCCCACGCGGATAGATACACCTCGGTGCCGAGGGACTAGCATGATTTAGGACTGATATACCCAACTACCGAGGAATACGTGTTGGTTCATGGTGGTTTGGGGTTCCTTGATCCCTGTGAATAGCATCATCGGGGCAGCGGGATCAGAATAGAAGAGTCTCCATTAATGCTGAGTACACGTGTCACCATCTAGAAGTGTCTAGAAATGTCCCATCAACTGCCCCCCAGCCTTCAATCTTCTGACGCCGAGGACACGCGTTGTAAGGAGACGAAGGGTTCTGTAATTGTCTCAACCACTCTATCATTGCTTCTAGCTATTTTCTGTTGCTTAGGAGCTCGTGCGCATTAAATATGTCTCTTCGTGTTTCATGCCTAATGATGGGGATGGGTACTATATAAACGGGCTCTCTCTCTCTCTCTCTTTTCCACACTTTTAGCATTTCGAACTCAGAGAGCTTTCTCCTAAAACTTCTCCAGAGACCCCCTTTGTCACGTCGTCTACCAATCAGTCGTCACCGGAGTTTAGACCAGTAAACCCCCTCTTACTTCTGAACTTTCTCGAGAAAGGAACCACTCCAAGTCCTTGAGAAACCTTCATTTTGCATTTTGCTGAGTCCTTGCATCTTCCTTCTTTTCGTCCTTCTGGGTTTTTGTTTTTCATTCTCCGGTAACCAAAAGTGTTTCTGGTTGTCATCGTGCGACCAACCCTCAAGAAACCCCTCAGGGATCTTCGTAGGAAAATTCTTTTTGCTCCCCCTCTACTTTTTATTTTAATTGGAGATGCCCCGACGTCGCCTTGCCACCGAGGATCCCCATTTTAGTTCCTCAAGGCCAGGGAAGTACAGAGTGAGGGGAAACCAGCAGATCGATAGGTTTAGGGCCCGGTATCACATTCCCCGAAACGTAGGTATAGAAGATTACGACCCAGTTTGCATAACCATAATCTCGAGGTGAAGGATGAGATGCCCTTTTATACCAAAGTAATCATAGAGGGTGGAATTATGTTCCTTCTGCCTCTTGTACTCCTTCAGTTCCTTTCCCATTTCAACCTCTTCCTCGGGCAGTGTTGCCTTAATGTCTTTAGGATAATAATGGGGGTCCTAGAGCTTAATAACCGTCTCGAGATAAGCATTGAGCTCAACGATATCCTCTTTTGCTACTCCATGTTGAGGGTTATGCCTCAGTAGAATTTCTTCCTCAAAGCCAGGGATCCATCCATCTACTTAGTAATTCACCTCCTTAACTCGTACAAAGGGTACAAGGATGACCTCTTGATCTTCAGCAGATCTTGGAGGCGGGGGACCGATCCTGAGTACGATGGTCTGAGGTGCCCCATTAAGTGGAGAACGACAAGTACGTCGGCTTCTTCGAGTCCAGTTTGTTACTGTCTTTAGGATATTTTGCAAGTGTTAATAACCATTTTTCTTGTGGAAACGTTTCTGCTCGGGAAGTCGCCCCTCCTTCTTGGTCTTTGGTACACTTTGTTGACCTT